GTACGATGGGTCTGGGAGAATCGATTGCTGACTTGAAGGTCAACCTGAAAGAATCTGAAAGAGTAGGATGCTATAGGTGCGTTGAAAAAGGGAACTTGAAGGAGCGGGAGTGAGCAAAGAAGGCAAGTGAGAATGTTGGGAGCCCTAATGCAATATCACATTCCTGTGCTTTGCGGGCTTGTAGCTCCGGCGCAACGTTTGGACAGAGCATGCATCGCACGAGGCTGAAAAAAGAGCGCAAATGGACCAGTGCAATACAGATCAATCGGTGCTTGCTTAGGGCAATTTTGCATTTGTATGCACGTTTTGCATGCACAGCGTCGTGAGACTGAGACATGCGAGTCTTCAATCCCAACCAATATGTGGTTCAGGCGACAGCCGTGCACCTGATGTCACTGCGGTAAGGTTACAGTATATTTCGACAGTCGGAACGTAAATGCACCTTGTAGTGGATATTATCGGAGAAATACAACTGCTGAGTGTTGCCAGTCCAACAGATCGTTGAGACACCCACCACAAGCCGGCATTGTGTCATGTTTTTTTGGTCATTTTGTTTGTGGGAAAGTCCGACTTTGCATGTGCTCGCTCTTCATGATTTCAGTTGCAAGGATGCTGAAGGACAAGGGGATGGATTTGTCCAAAGCCTTTGATGCCATCGATGGCTTCGACGGCAACGGCCACTTGGAACATGGCCTTAACCCAGTCACGAGTGCAGGCCATTCTACTGTTCGGTCATCACGTTCCGCTGGCTGCGTGCTTGCACCTTCCGCGGAGCTGCTTGAGCAAAGGAAGCCCGAACTGCTGCACCCTTGGGTAGAAGAACCCGCTACGCAAACAACTTCCGCTCTCATGAGGGGCAGGGTGATGTCACTGGGTCCACGCTGAACACTTGCCCAGGTGAGATTGGCTACGGCAAGCTGCAGCAAGGTTTGGAAGAGTTGGGCTGGCGGAAGTTCAAGAGATCTGCAGACCATGAGATCAAGGAGAGCCGGTCTCTTTGCGACATTCTCACGAGGTATTGGGCTGACCGTCGTGCCCTCTCTCGAGGTTAAGACTTTAAAATGTTGGGCCAAGGTGGGGGTTGAGGATTCCAGTCCCGAGCAAGACATCCCCTCATGAAGGCTGCACAAACGTGCTGACGCTTGCCTCACAAGGTTTGGATTCGACCACGGACCTCCAGCACTGTAGCAGCCTTTGAATGACATGTCCGGCAACTTGACTGCTTCGGCCTGCATTGCTCCCCCTCAAGACAGGTATCAGAAGCTTAGCTAATTTGCCACCAGTGAATGGTACGCATGCTGATCGAAGCAAGGTAGGGCATGGGCACGGGGCTTTTTGGCAAAGGGCTTTGACACAAGAATGCTGGGTAGCTGATGGCAGTAGAAGCTTGATTGGAACAACTGCATGAATGCACAGCCCTCAGCCTGCTACACACATTTCAGAGTGCGACGTTTGGTGCCCTGAGGGCAACGGACGCAGGCCTTGCGGATGAGACTTTGAAGTTCGCTTCGCCGCAGTGAGATCTTCCTCCTTTTTCGCGTCAAGTTTGGGTGCCTTTGAAAAGGCTGGCCTGACTCTTGCTAAAGATCTCCCCGGTTTTTAGGAAACGTGCCACATGTTGACATGCTTCACCGGAAAGGGCATCTGAAGCCAGGCTCGGAGGGTTACCCTGGATCGAAATCTCCCAGGGACCTTGCTACATGACTTGGGAATCAGGGCCATCATGAATTAGTTGAAATGGATAGCAAGTCGTCCTGATCCCTTTAAACATCACCCACTTTAAAGTTCAGCTCACTCAAAATTGGCCCACCACGACTGCCGTGCATTCCCTACTTGCTTCAGCAAAGCAACCACGAACAAGGCCTGTTAAGTATGTAAACATCAATGAATGACAGATGGACTTTTTACTGATGGCCACAGTGTTTCAAAGGCTAGATGCCCTCTCGGAGCTGGTGTAAAAGTACCAAGTGCCTCAAAGTGCTTTCGCCTTAAGCCGCCATGTGGTGGTGTCGTTTTGAAGGGTCTAGTTCGATGTCACTGGAAGTGGGCGGCCGAGCCCAAAGGAGGATGTCGCTTTAGCCGATAGGAGCAGTTCCTGGCCATCTTCCGGTGCTTGAACCCCAGTGGGCACGGAACGTTGGCGCGGGGTGACTGGAACATCCTCCAGCAGGTGAAGCAAGATGCAGCTTGGCATGAATAACCCCAGCAATCCCGAAGTCATCCCAGGCATGCGCGGAATTTGGTTTGTTCCCGTTGCTAGACAAATGACTCAGAATTCCCCAACAAAGCAACACGGGCAATGCGGACCCGACCAGAAGGAATGCTTGTTTACCGTGTCCAGACATCCTTTCGACCTGTCGGAAGCCCTCCCATGGAACTTCAGATTGAAAAACGGTCACATGCACAAACGTCAAGGGTTCCAGGAGGGGTCTGGGACGACTATGGGGCGAGTTCCTCGTTTGCTGCTTGTCCTTTGTATCAAGCCAGCCGTTTTGGCATGACTTGTTTTTTTCGTTTGAATCTTCCGCTGTTGTTGGCGATGCCTGCAACATGCAGCGGCAGCACGCGATTTGCGCTTGCTGTCGAGCCCCAAGTTAGGTCGAGCAGTCGCTCATTGAGTGCGTGCCGCTTGGCACTGAATTCAGACCGCAAGCAGGTGGTTTGGCTTGGTGGCTTGGCATTTTGCACCCTGGTTGTTGCTTGAACCAGTTGGGTAGCCTCCAGACGACCTGCCACCACCCAGCAAGGTTTGGCTGAGTTAGCTGCTGAGTTTCCCTCGTGTATGATAGGTGTGTGGGCCAGTTTGAGGGGACAAGGCTCAGGCAGTTGTCAAGTTGTCCTTTCGCTGTGGCAATCTGGCTTTGGAGGTTCTGGAACCGCAGGCTCCAGGCATTGAAAGGCTTGCGGAATCAGACTCTACCAGGCAGTACTTGCTACGGGTCAGCGACCATTCCTGGACAACTGCCTGGAGTAAGCTGGACTGCTGGGCGCGTTCGACTTCTGTCACCAGTGTGTAGGCCTTGAGTGAAGCCCAGGGGCTTGTAAGCTGGCGTTCTGGCGCGGTTTGCCATGCTTTCTGGGCAAGAAGGCTTCCATAAGCTTCCACTTGGCTAGAAGCTTGGGGGAGAATGAGAGCATGGCAGCCTTCCATCACAACAATCCGAACCCCAGAAATCTTCTGCACCTACAAAGCAGCTTTGTAGCAAAGGCACTTGCAACCCTTGCACCATTCGCACTTGGAACCTCCCACGGTCCCACGGAGGCATAGAACTGCGAACCTTTTGCCCGGGGGGAGTGAGCGTTCCAGCCATAAATAGCTGATTTCATGCCAAGAGGTTCCATTGCATGTCACTGTCAGGCAAGCATTGGTAGTTCCAGAAGTTGACCACGTTAAGCCACTGGCTTGGCCGGCTAACTTGGCACCTGACGAGGGCAGGAAATAGATCTCCCAGGTGCCCTCGATGCTAGCTGATGACTCATAAGCCACGTGGCCTCCAAGCCAAGCCAATAGCAAAGGTTGGTCCCTTCAGCCAAATCCGGGTTGCTATACTGGGCAAGGAAAGAGTGGCCGACTCAGTTACCCACAGGACCTGGAATGTGAAGACCAGCTGGACCGCAGCACCTGGCAGGCGGCTTTGACGCGCCTGGGTGCCTTGGATGGAGTTGAGGGGCCGAGGGGGCGCAGATTGGGTTTCGGATGGATCCCAAACAGAGCGTGGGTCTTTACGGGGTCTTTGGAGGAGCGACCTTTGTTGGGTTGGCTGGGGACAAGTTGGATTTCTGAGAGGGTGCTAGTGGCAACCCGCTGGCTCCAAGAACGCCCTTGGAAAAATACCGAGAACATGCAGACGCGTGAACATACAGCCGCTCACGAGCCACTGAGCCAGTAGCCAAAGCGTATGACGTATGCATCCATGTGTTTGCTGGGCCCACACTGTGGCCCTGTTTGGTCCGCATTAACTTTCCCGTGACCACCGGTGCGGGAGAATGTGACCGGGGTGGCCGATGCTCCCCCGTCTTCAAGGTTGCTTCAACTCGTTGAGTTGGTCCAATTCAGCCAGCAAGCCTTTTGCGAGCACGCGATGCGGGGCTCACAGTACTCAAGTGTTTTTTTGTTTGCAATGGCTGCTTCATTGCAGAAAATGCTCAACTTGTTCAAGAGTGCGTTGGGCGAGCAAGCCTTCCAATCGTCATGAGACACCTTTGGCGGCCCATGGGGGCCGTGACCTGCAACAGACAGGGTGAAGCGTTTACCCAGCCCTCGCGTGTTTATCGTTGGCTTCCCTGCAAATGCTTCAGTCACCAGCAGGTTGGGTGCAGCTTCGCCAGAAGAACGTGAGTATGGCCCTGGCGCTAGCCTTGACGGGCGACATAGCATCCGTACACCGAGACATTGGCTCGTTTGTACACTGATGCATCGTCGGGTGCTTTGCACAGTGCGGCCGTGCTGGTGTCACTGAGGGCGCGTAAAGTCTTGTGGAGGTCCGGGGAGGTCGCACGGAGGTCTCGCGGAGGTTTCGCGCCTAAAAGCAACCCTGAAACCAGCATCATAGGTTCAAAATGAGGCCTAAAGAGAAACTTGTCCAACCCTAAACCCTAAATCCCAAAGTCTCTCAGAGGTCCTGCGCGGACATTTCGAAAATCCTAAACCTAAAATGGAATGGAGTGGATCTCAAGACTAGGATCCCAGCGCCACGCGATCCGCTTGAACCCAAAATTGTGAGCCTGAAACCTAAACCCCACACCGAACAGCCCTAGGCCGGAAACCTTCAGCTCAAGCACAAAACCAGGGGCAACACTGTCAGACCGCCGGTTGGTTGCTGGCTGGAGTCTTGCCTGGCTGGATGGTTGGTTGGTTGCTTCCTTGTTTGGTTGGTTGGCTGGTTGGCTCGTTGGCCGGGTTCATTGGTTCGTGGGTTCGCTACTTGCTTGCTTGGTTGCTTGGTTGCTTGCTTGCTTGCTTGGTTGGTTGGTTGGTTGGTTGTTTGGTTGGCAGGTTCAGTGGTTCGGTGCTTTGTCGGCAGTTGTTGGACTAGTTCAGGTGCCCAGGCTTGCTTTTGGGCAGACGTTTGGCATGAGTCATTGCATTTAGTAAGTTCGTGTTGATTGTGACTCACTCGCTCTGAGTTGGGGCTTCCCTTTCTCAGGACCCTACAAACCACCCAAAGCCCCCGCCCTCGCTGTTCAGGCTTGCTTCTTCTTGCTGGCGGTTTAGCTTTTCTTGGCTTTAATGGGGGTTTCGATGTCACCCACTGAAAGTAAAACTTTTAGCAGATCTGAGAACAGCCCAGTGTTGGTAAGCTTCATGAACCAAGTAGCCCTAGGTCCGAGGGTTCGGTCGACTTTCGAGCCGCAGGCTACCATGGCCCCGCTGACGTGGTGTTCCGCTACGCCACCTCTTCCTCAGAGACGCTGATGACCTGGGAGAAGTTTAGCGGCTTGGCCCTGGGCCAGCAAAATCGGGCCTAAATAGTAATGATTGTCATGGTTAATGTTGTGAACTAAATCATTGTGGACCAACAATTATTATTGTGTACAACATTGTGTACTATTGGGCAGTAATTTATCATTGTTAATGTATGCGGACTAAATTGGTTTCAACAAATAAGAATGGTCTAGTAGTTATATGTTACATGGCCTGATGATCGTAATTAAAGTGGTTCCCTAATTATTTTTTGGTTGTGGGGGGGGGGCTTACCTTAAACGGGATACTTTGCGGTACATGTGTAGGGCATCAACTCATTGATGGGTTGGGGATGTCAAGGGAGAACCCAAAAGATCCCAATTTCTCCCTGCAGCGTCCTTTTGTTCGACAAATGGGGACACCTGTTTTAATTCATGTTTTCTTGTGTCTGGGTTTGGTGTCTTGGTTTTGGTCCAAAGTCATAACATCAGAATATCCTTTTGGGAGGCATGCGGGAGTTGCTGGGCAGTCCACTTAGGTTCCCTGATTTGGTGCTTGATTGGTTCTTGGGGCCTCGGCCAACCTGCTAGGGCAAAAGCTCAAGCCTTTAGCTGGGCAAGCGACGAATCGCCATGTCATCCTTGGAAAGCTTATTGTGTTTTGTCATGCTTGTTGATGCTTCTTTGTACTTGTTAGTGCTCGTCCTTCTTTTGAAATCTATATAACAAATTCTCGGCTGTTGTAATATCCTGCGTTTCTTGTTGGGCCCCAAGGCTTGGTGTGTTGTCCGCCCAAGGTGTCCCGCAAGGGATCTTTCCGTGACGAAATCCTGATGAGGTTCCTTGTTACTGGTTCACGCGGGGGGCAAGGTTACCCTGCGTTAGGAGCTGTGTTGGGCTCTCTCGCTGTGATGTTTCCCCCCCCCCAAGTCACACCAGGCATGGCTTGAGTTCGATGGGACGTTGCCCTCTTTGGCCCATTGGCACTTGGCCCATTGGCACTATCAAGTGCCGGTGCTTTGAGCATGATCCCTTCGAGGTGAGGATGTTTGCGTTTAGTTGAGGCAGGGTGGAAGACCGAGGCAAGCTAGAAAAGTGGGTCACTCAGCCTTTTGACGATGCCAAGTGAGGTGTAGGTGCAACGAATTAAATTAGATAGGCGTCTATCTTTTGCCTGATAGGCCGTCCTTGGGGGCGTGCTGAATTCGACCGCATGGCAGCACCTGGAAGCAGGAATTGCCGAAAGCTTGATTGGAATGCACATGCAAAGCATGATGTGGTTTCACCCTGCAAATCCGAGCCAGAGAGAGGAAACAAGCAACCGGTGAAGCTCCTGTTGCATTACTGCAGTGGCCTTGGGCAGCTTGCGCAGGGGCTATGTTTTCTTAGACCCCTTCTATCAAGAGTCATTGGTTTCAACGGCGCTCATGCCGATTCGGACGAGTGGCAGGGCGGGGAGGACGAGTTCTCTGAAGAGTTGATGATTGTGTGCCTGGTGCCCGGGCATCCACTGCTTCCTTGAGGGTGCACCGGCATTTCAGACCCACCCCCCTGGAATTTGTTCGATTCATTGCTTGGGTGTTGTTTTAGCGTTTCTCCAGGGTGAAGGCAGCAATGCGCTAAGTCTTGTCCCACCATGTCCCACCCGGAGTCATTGGAAATCTCAGCCAGAGGTGCTGAACTTGCCCGCCTTGACGATGACAACCTGATCCCAGGCCGGGTGCGAGGGGAAGATGCCAAATGCGGGTGCGAGACATAGTTCCGGGGGCCCTTGTCAAGTTTAGCTCCCCTGTGTGCAACATCGAACGGCCTCGCCTGGACCGGGCAGTTCTTGGATGAAACGCGCGTCCAGGTATCAATGATAGGTGGGGCTTCATGACGAGAGCGTATGCCTCAGACTGGCAGTCCCATGCAAACCCAGTTCGGCTGTTGAGCACAACCGGGCCCTTCAAAGCTGCTTTCCTGCTTCATCCTATCTCATCCTGCTTCATTTGACTTACTACTTGTCCAAGGCCAGCGTGCTGGCCTCTTGTATTTGGCCTCATGGCCCCCAAAGGCTAATGCTTAGACTCCCTGCTGTCCATTTTTGGGCATGGGTTGGAAAACACCCTTGCCGACAACCCCATGCATCCAAAACAAAGAGGTTGAAAACAAACAAGAATGAGTATTTGCCACTATGGTGTCTTTAGCTGTTGGGCATATTGTGGATGGTGCCTGTCATGCATCAATGCTTCAAGCCAAGAAGTCCCAAAGCTCCTTCAAAGGATAACTTGCCAGCCCCCCCATGGCACTGGAGGCATCCAACACAGTTATAGGTGGCTGAGTAGAAAGGGCAACTGCAACATGCGGCGAGTGCTCTTTTTGTCGCATACGGGAGCCATGTACAGCAGTCAAAAGGCTCATGATAGAGATGACCGAAGGGTGCATGAACGTCAACGTATGTCAAATGTAGACTGGCATAGGCTGGCATAGCCACCCCATTTGTCTCTTGCTTTCCTGCGTTCTGCCATCCAAAGGGATGTCATTTTGAGAGTTTCGTTTCAGCCGGCTTTCCGGTGGCCAAGGTTGGCCTGCATGAGAAGTCCCACCTCTTCCGACAGGTGGGAGGGGGCTAGCACGTCTAAGCTGTCAAGAATCCAAGGTTCCATTCATGAGCTTGTGTCTGGTGAGCACAAAGTGCCAGCAATGAGCACGGGAGTGCCCGACAAGTTGGTTTGCCAGGTTGAAAAGTATGCCGATATCTACACCTCCCGCGTGCCAGCGCCTTGCAGTGCGTCGTTTGTCACCGGCGGCCACCTGACAACAAGGACTGGTGGAGACGTATCTGAAGTCCGGTAAAATGGGGTTGCCCGCAAATTATGGGAGCCCATGTTCCCGTGTCTTAGTGGTTCATTTTTTTAATTGTTTTTTGTTTTTTGTGCCAGGACAACGAGGCATTATTATTCGATGACTACTTCATGACTATGTTGCACTCAGCGTTTCAAGTTGGCTGATTGTGATTGCCAGATGGAAAGCAGAGTGGGCACGCAAGGGTTGCAGTCATTGAGTGTGATTCCCACACGATGCACAAATCGAGCCAGCCCCGCAAGGTCAAACTTGATGGATGGCACGCCCTATGCAACCTTCCGACCTCCACTGCAGCCAAGGGCCTGGCCGGAAGGGCTCGACCGCGCGTTGGAATGTGGATGGCATGTTCCCAGCAGAACTTTTCTGGGCGCAAAGGTCGGATCGCAACTTCTTCTCTGATGGCAGTGAGCAGGCGAGAAGGGCCAAAACCACTGCAAATTCACAGCAATGTGCAGGGTTTTGCCAGGGCGTTGAGGGTGGGCATCAGCGGTTCGCAAGCAGTGAAATCGTTCACCAACCTGTAATGGTAGCTTTGAACTGCAGGCATGTTTCAAAGCTGGAAGCTGCCTCAGCTTCCTCCTCTTTTCGCGGGAGACCGTGGAGAAACACGAGAGTTGCTTGGGGTCTTAGGCTTGGCTAGCCACCTTTAAAGTAACGTACAGTAAGCGGCGTTCATCAGACAAACGTGAGGAACCCCATGAATGTTGTCGCAGCCACGGCTTGGGACGACACAGGAGGATGTCTGGTGCATTTACACTTGGCATGCTTGGCAGACCAACCATTCAGCTGGCAACCTTTTCGGTGGTTTTTTGACCATGGGCTTCGGGTGCTTTGAGGATGAGATCGGCCTTTCAACTCATCTGCAAGTGGCCTGCTTTGGCCCACGTTGAAGCATCCTTCCCAAGGGTTGACAGTTTGGTATCAGGTTTCAGTTGCGCACTTTGAATTGCAGTGGCTTTGTGGGACCGGGTACCGACAGCCAGGCCTTTTCGGAGTACATGTGCCAACTGGTGGGCTCTTGGGGTCCGGTGGAGGAGGCGTGGTTGACATCTGTTGCCGGAGCGCCGGTCAGGGCGCACTGGGGACTCTGAGTGGGTTGCTGTGGGCGCAGAGAGAGGCCTGGTGGCTATTCAAGCGAGCCACCTTCACCCAGGTGTTGGCCATGCATTTGGGGTGCAGTAGGCCGGCCACGTGTGCTCATGGTTGCTTCTGGTGGGAAGTCGATCCTGTTTGGCATGGAACTCGTTCTTCACATGTGTGGCAAAGATGTGTCACCCCACCCCATATTGCCAGATTGACCCCATCCCATGTTGAGAAGTATGGCCAGCCAAGCAGCCAAGCACCGGAGGCTGCAACTCTGTGCCTGAGGCGTTTGCTGAGCCGACCGAAGCTACGCTGGGCACCGAGCCCCATGCATCGCTAGCACACACCCCTCCCCGACCCCTGCGCCGGGATTTGGCACAGCACAAACGCCTTGAATCGCGCTCGCTGCCAACTGACTGCAACATTCTTGTTGACTTAGGCACGCGCACACCTCCAGTCTGGGCTTCTTGCAAGGTCGCGAATTGCAAACGCAAGTAACGCAGGGTAGGTTATGTTTCTTCAGGAGCGTGTGGTTTGGTGTGGGTTGAGAGGCAGTTGACCCAGTTGCCCATTGGAAGCGGCATTGCTTCTGAAGACGAGAGTCTTTCAAGCCAACTCTTGGAGGCTCGAATCCTCCCTGGGTCGTTCTTGTCTCAGCTGCTCATTGCAAATATTTGAAGTTTGAGAAATGTTTTAGTGCGCCCAGCCCCTGCATAAATTAATGGCGCAGGCTTCCCATCCGGGAGTTTAGATGCTAGAGTGCTGTTGGCTGCTAGTGTCGATACTCGACTCGGTTTCCTACACTCTTTGCCAGCATCGAAGTCGCAAGTTACGTGCACTTCTGAGGAAAGTGTTTGGGAATCATCGGCCATGCGAGTCACGTCTCACTTCACGACATACCTACCTGCAGATTTGCGCACCAGGCAAACGCAAGTGTCATGTGGGGCATGCTCCCGCCTGTGGCAAGAGGATTGTTCACATCCATACACACGCAGATGAAGAGATTGACTTGTTACCTACCACAGAACAAAGCTCAATCGACGCATTCAAGTGCTTTTGGTTGAGGTCGCCATGATGCACGTGCTCCCGTCATCCCCGTGCAACCCATGACAACGCCCGGTTGTTCAGTTGCACCCTTTTTCCGTTTGTTGTTCGGCGGCGTCCCCACAAAAAGGGTCAGCCCGCAAAACAACTGGGAACAAGAACAGTCAGGCCATGCCCTTTTTATTGGTTCTAATCGTTCGAAAGTGATCAGCTCCAGCTGGAAATCTCGGTGTTGCGTGGAAAGGTGGCACGGGTGTTTATCCAAATTGCTCCGGAAAACCTTTAAAGCCAAACAATGGGGGGGAGGCCACAGAATGCACCCACATAAATTTTGGGCTACCCCGCAAAGTGACATCCATCACTTTGAGCCGTTGCATTCGATGCTCGGATGTGCACGCGTTACTTTATGGTTTCTTTTGTTTCAAGGCTGTTTGGCGTCGAGCCATTCAGTTGTGTTCTTTGTCCTGCAATGTCCTTAGCTAAATGGCAGACACTGCATTTCTGCGTTCAGACTTCACAAGGAGCATGAAAGTCAACATCCAGAAGCGGCCGTTTGGTGGCCAGGAAAATATGCATACCATTACTCAGAACCAGAGGCTTGCTCTTTGTGGCTTTCCTTTTGCTTTGTGCAGACGCATCACATAACAGGCCTCGTTTCAAGGGATGCGCTCCGCCCGAGGTCCCAACACGTTGAGATCAGCTGAGCGATGAAAGGGTCAGACGTGAGGTTCCATTCAATGAAATTTGCTCCTGGTGTACGTATCGCGCAAAAGGGCACTTCGGACTCCAGCAAAGGCAATTTATTGGTGTTTGGAATGCGATACACGTGGATACATACTTGTTCTCGAATTCATGCCCAGCCGGCACATTTTAAAGCCAAGTGCATGCCGCGCACAGCTGTAATTCTTTAAAGCATTCGACAGATGGATGCACCCCCTCCATTTTCCAGGAGTTCCAGTGACTCTGGGAGGGAATGAGCATTACACGGCGCAACCTCCGTTGTCTCAAGCCCCTGTGAGCCATGCGCTGTGCAGGTCAGCTAACGCACAAGAAATGCGGCCTTGCATCTGTGCGGCGCGGCCCAGTCCTTGTTCACAAGACACACGGAAGCATTGTGCCCCGACGTTTGGCAAAGGTCCTGTGCGGATTGATCTCGAATGTTGGTGCAGGGCTGGCTCGCAAGTTTGATCTTAGTGTGAGAAATGCCATTTATCCAGCTTAGATGTCTCGCAAATTTAATCTTATAGTGTGAGAAATGGCAGTTAGATGTTGCAGGTATAAATGCCACAAGCCATCAAGAGCACAGGTCTTCTTAGCCATGCAGGCCATGGCGTCGGACGATAGCGAGAGCCCCAGTTCCCAGCGGATGGCAAGGCTCTATGCGCTGATGAACTCCGACGCGCCGAACGCAACTCGCCTGCAATGTCCAGCCGTGCGCGATGTCCATTGTTATATTTGGTGTGTGCGTGTGTCTTTTGAGGGTACCCTTTTCGGGGTTGGTTTGAATGACCCCGCCATCAGTAGAGGTTGCAGCTGTGGTGGGCTGTGGTGGGTTGGAGGTGGGTTGGCTCTGTGCAGGGTTTGGCCTTTGTGCTTCCTCGACGAACGGCCAGAAGAGTGATCCGACCAACAAGCTATCCAAAGAAGGGCAGCCACACTCAGCACATCAACCACCACTTGAGGCAAAGCTTCGCCACGACTTTTGTGAGCCAACTGACGTTGTAGAACGCTTTCAAGGCTTCAAGCCATAAAGTCACGCCATGGGCCCAACACATACCCTCGTAACCCCAAGAAGGAACTGTCCAAGTCATTTCGGGGTTAGCGTGTCTCATGGGCCTCCCCTAACTGGGCTCCGCGCATGGCACGTCTGAGGAGCTGTCCCTGCGGCTGCCGCAGCCCAAGCCCTCGGTTGCGCCACGGCTGGAAGAGCAGCTGCGGCATTTGGAGGACGAGCTGCAGAAGACCAAACGCCACAAGGACTGGGTGAGGAATTGGAGAGGTAGATCTTCTTTCTTTTTTTTGCCCGGGGGCGGGGGGGGGAGCGAAATGGGGAGACTAGTTACGGGGGCACCCCCATCCCCCTCACCCTCAAGGTGGGGGGAATCAGGCATCCCAGGAATACCTCCACACCAATTCCGAGGCTTGGGGCAAGGACGCGTGCCGAATCTCCCGGCCTTATGGGAGTCCGCAGGTTTGCTCACTTAGAACCAGTGGTTCACACATTCGTATACCATGCATGGCTCAACGCCAGTGTTCATCACTTTGCGTGGCATGCTGTTCTGCCAGACTGGTTGGTCGCGGCATATCAATGCCAAAATTTGAAGGTCTGCTCAGCTCAGCAAAAGCCGCTGGGGCATCCTTCTTTCAAGGCAAAAGCATGATGAATGATGCCTCACCCTGCCTTGATCAAGTAAACCCGGATTGATGAGAGGAAGGATTATCTTGTGGCAGGTGCCATTGTACCCCGGCAGGAGGTGCTGGAAACGGAGTCCCTTGTCGAGATGATGGCGGTGGACAATTAGAAGGGTTGCCTTCACTGATTGGTGTTTTTACATCATGCTTGCGTCGAACATGGCCACCGCAATGAAGGTGGGTTCTCATTGCTGTTCTCCCATTGTTTCACGACATGCCCTAGAATGGTTTCAACTGTTTCAACTCTTCCCATTGGCCATGTGCTGGCACTGCACTGTAGTAAATTGTGTGTCGGATGTTGCTACAGCTGACGTTGTATCCTTGCCACCTATTTGAACGCACCCCTCACCGCAAACACTGGGCAAGGCCGTGCAATGCTGAAACCCCAGCAAGCTATGCCCAGTTCTGTTTGGGCGTGCAATGGTCCCGGCCATTGGGCAGAGGCGCTCGCAAGGTGCCCTTCGATTTGACTGATGGGACGTTCAATCGCCAGCAGTTGACCTTAGCATTGTTTCGAAGGTTCGGGCAGTGCAAGAGGCTAGCAGGGTTCAGTACTATTCAGCAAAAGTGGCAACAGGGCAATGCTAGTCCGTCACTTGCAATTGTGCAACCAGAGGGAGGGCGAAATATTTTGCATTATTCGGGGTGTGTTTTTCAGCCAGCCATGTGAGTCCAAGGAAGGACGAGCTTTGGGAGCAGCTGCAGAGCCAATCCACGGCAACGGACTTGCGGCACCGCGTGAGATCCATGTTGGAGGAGCAGAAGCGATTGGTGGACCAACTGCAGGCGGAGATTGCCCAGGCCGGCTGCCTCCAAAAAACGGGGGGGGGGGGGGTGGGACCGCGGGGGGTTGCGGGGAAACCAGCTGCGAGTCTGGAAGTCAGGGGTCGGTTGGTTTGGGGGGTGTTTTTGGGTGTCACCCCGTTTTTTGGGATTTGATCAAACAGTGACACTTATTCGTTATTCCATTGGCACAGGCGCAAACACGATTAAAGGAAGACATTGGCATTAGCCAATCCCCCCTGTACACATCTATATACTATGTAGCATTGTTTTTGTATGATCGTGACTTTGATTCGTTTTGCAGAACCCCACCTTTCTTTCCCCGTCCGCCTTTTTTCGCCCCTCCAGGAAATGACTCAGCTTCAAACGCCGGCTTCTTCGCAGAGGTGCCTTTGGGGCGCTTCAGCATGTGTTGGGCGTGTCTTCTTGTGAGGGTTTCCTGTTGTGGGGTTAGTTTCATGGGAAGCCACCCATTTTGAGGGTTTCAGGGTTCCCCGACTTAGAGGACCATTTGTTCCAGTGATCCTGCGAACGTGCCTCATTGGGAATCTACAAGGCCCCGGGTGGAACCAAGTTCTAAACCAGAGTTGAGTGCATGCGTTTCTTCGGCGCAGTTCAAAAGATCGACCCTGTGCTATTGTCCCAACCCGGAGATGGTTTGATGCTCAGTTGATCCAGTGGCAAGCTGCCTGGACCCCTGAAGCTCCGGGCTGCCCGAACAACGGCCCCCAAGGCGATTGAGCCCCCCTTCCCATTGATGCAAGGCACAGCTTCGATGGACAGCCTTCCATGGCCTTCAGGCAAGCGCGGCGTGAAGAACGGTTTTTGTTTGAGGGTGTCGCGGTGTCATGTTCAGGATTGAGAAGGGAAACCCTCCTGTAGATGGACGAAATCCTGGACCACATGAGAAAATTGGAATGATTATTTCCCTGTAAGTACCACCGTCAATGGTTTCCATTGTTTCCCATGGTTTCCCATGGTTTCAAAGTGCGAACGGATTTCGTCCATCCGCAGTATTTTGAGAAAGCCATGTGGCCTGCGGAACCCATTGACCAAAGCCGGCTCACTGTTTCATGTGACCGCTCGCTTCACGACTCCTCGCGTTGAAGCCCTGCGCAGGCCGGCGTCGGCACTGAGCTCATCGGTCCAGGAGTTTCCTGGCCAGACAGCTAGCAACTCATTTACCTGATTTAGCAACGGTCAACATTTACCTGATTGTTGGCAGGCCAGCGAACGGCATTGGGTATGCTAAAAATCGTTAGAATGTTTGGCCGGGCCGCGGGGTGGGGGGGGGGGTGGGGCGCGGGGCTTCAAGACCCTCAACCCGAAAGGCGAGTCTTTAAAAGGATGGATTCCGAGATATTCTAGTTTGGCAGGTCAGGCGGATCTGGGTTTTGGCGGCTGCTTTGAAAGAGGCTGTGCGATGGCCTGTCGTGGGCCTAAGGCTGGCGAGCCCTGGACAAGGCAGCCTGCAGTGTTACCCATGGCCTGCTCCGACGGAGTCTCCCAGGGAAGCACCGGAGGAGACAGACGCCAAACTGCCAGGAGCTCAAATGAACTCTAGCAACAGCGCTTGAGACGAAATGGAGTAACGCAGTCTTCGTAGGTGTGCAAGGGCTTGGTGCTTTTCAGACGGCATTTGGATTCGGAACTGAGTTGGTTCATTCCAGGGATCATGAGGTGCTGTGCGGCCAGTGGGAACATATATGCTGGACAGACGTAGCCAGTTTGTGGTAGCAGCGTGGGTGCGCACATCATCCAACCGTGCCTTTTGCACATGGCCGAGGCAAGCTAGAAGGCCGCCAGCGGCACGGGCATGCGCAGCGGAAGCGTTGCTGGCCGGAAGGTTAGCATGCATGAAGGAGATGTCTTGCAGTGTGGGCTCAGGCAAGGTGGCTGGAATCTTGAAGCTATTTGTGCCCAAACTGAGGCGTGCAAGTCCTAGCCAGTTCAGCTCCGAATGTTTGCGAGCTTCTCCGAGCTACGCCCAACAGCTTCGCCGGGTGAGCGTGGAATCTGCCACGGAGCCAGCAGAGGCTCCGGATGAGACGGATATTCAACAATTGCCGGGGACTTAAGCTGTGCAAGGGAGAGATGCATGCCATAGGCAGCGCGTGGCACTTGAAGTGCTTCGAAGTACTATTGCTTCCCAGGTTTAATGAAAGCACCTCAATATGTTTCCCAAACCCCACAGCATGCCCAAGCCAAAGCCATCTCCTAGCCAATTGCATTTGAGTGACGAATCTAAACAAATCGCTTCAACGGCTTATTCAAGCTCCCGCATGGGACAAATTAAGTTTTGGACAGGTGTGTGCCTGGCAAGGGGGTACAATGGCGTGGATATGCACATCCTTGTCGTGCACATTGTCCAAGTGTGTATTTTGCACATGGCCGAGGCAAGCTAGATGGCTGCCATCGGCACAGGCAAGCGCAGCAGCCGAAGCGTTTCCAGCCTGAAGATTAGCATGCATGTGAAGGAATTGTCTTGAAGTGTGGCTAAGGCAGTTCAGCTCCGAATCTTTGCGAGCTTCTCCGAGCTACGCCCAACAGCTTCGCCGCGTGAGCGTGGAATCTGCCATGGAGCCAGCAGAGGCTCCTGATGAGACGGACATTCAGCAACTGCCGGGGACTTAAACTGTGCAAGGGTGAGATGGTTTGTCGTAGGCAGTACGTCGCAGTTAAAGTGCTTCACAATCTAAAGCACCTTGTGAATACATTTTCCTTGACCCCACGTCATGCCCCAGACCCAGGTTTATGAGGGGCGACGCAATACTGCGAATCTATGTCCAATTCAATTGTACCTGTTGGACTTGAATTCAACTATCTACAAATGCCTTGAATTATTTAGAAATTCCCAACGCATCACCCTTGGCATCCTATTGATAAATTTGTGTATGTTCCTGGGGAATGTGTTTTGTCACAGGGGCCCGCATTCTTAGGCACAAGGGATGATTGGCTTGGCGCGCGTACCAGCGTGTGATTTGTTCGTGCCAGAAGCTGTTTATCCCCACACTGAGGCGTGCAAGTCCTGGCCAGTTCAGCTCCGAATCTTCGCGGGCTTATCCGAGCCGCGGCCAACAGCTCCGCCGGGCGAGCGTGGAATCTGCCATGGAGCCAGCAGAGGCTCCTGATGAGACGGACATTCAGCAACTGCCGGGGACTTAAGCGCCGCAAGGGTGAGATGGTTTGCGGTAGGTTGCGCGTGGCACTTGAAGGACATGTTTCCTTGACCCCACGGCAGGAAGGGCCAATTCTGAGCCAACTCCAGTGAATCTTCTGGTGACGAATCTGAACATAGGCATTGAACAATTGTGTCGCGAATTGCGATTCTGACGGATTTGTGCTTGACAAGGGTTTGTCCCCATTTTAGACGATCAGCGAAGCAGATCGAAGCAGAGACCGCTCGAATTTTGGGACCCTCTTAGGGTTACATTGCCTCAGCTTGCGCATGTTGCATTGGCCTCGCCTGCAGCGTTGTGGGAGTTGTTGAGCCATCGCATCATAAGCACTTGCAATGCAAGCTTCTGGGTGCCCATGCACAAATGAAACAGATTCCTTGCAGCGGATTTTTTGCTGCTGCTTTGCTGCTGCTGGTGGTGGTGTCCATCTCAATGTACGTTGCCCATCCCTTCTCCGCATCCAACTTGGCGCCCCTCTCTCTCTCTCTCTCTCTCTCTCGCTCGCTCGCGCTCTCTCTCACTCTCTCTCAGCTCTCTTTTTTTTTTCTCTCTCTCTCTCTCTCTTTCTTGTCTTCCCCTTAAGTTATATTTTTTTTTGTTCTTTCATTATTTTGTTGTGTATTTCTTTCTTTTTCTTTCTGTCTTTCCTTTTTGTTTCTCTCTCTCTCTCTCTCTTTCTCCCTTTGTTTTTTTGCGTGGCAGGCTTGCTTTCCGTTCGGCGTCGTTAAAGTATGGGAAGCGATTGCGATCTCAACGGTTTTCCGGTGAATGTTTGCAACTTGCTTTTCCATGGGGACAGATAATACGTCCCAGCGCCCCACTGTGATTTGGTTCCAGAAGGAAAAACCTGTACTCTTGCCATTTTTGGGAAAACGGCGGAGTGAATGACTTTCCAACTTGCTTTCCAATGAGAAGGACAGATATTACGTCCCAGGGCCCTGTTCAGGAAACGTATGGGACCGAATGACTTTCCACTTGTCTTTCCGCTGAGAATGACATGTGTGACGCATGTTTCGTGGGGGTATGTAGCATTTGTTGCCAGAGCATGCCAGAGCATGCCAGAGCGCCCTACATGATGATGCAGCTTTCCACAGGGTGATGCAACTCAAGTCGCGATTTGTGTGTGTTTGTGTGTTAGTCTGCTTCAGGGGAATTGTTAATCATTTCGGAAAAGAGATGATTTGTCCAGCATGCATGCAGAGGCTTGGTGACTCATAGCAGGCCGCAACTGCTTGCTTCATGGTCTTGCAATGCCATACTGCGAGAACAGCGTGAACAAAGACGTGCTTGCGCGCACCGTCCAACCTTGCTGTATTTTGCACAGCCGACGCAAGCTAGAAGGCCGCCATCAGCACAGGCATGCGCAGCAGAAGCGTTTCCAGCCTGAAGATCATGTGAAGGAATTGTCTTGAAGTGTGGCTCAGGCAAGGCACGAAGGAAGCTGCTTGTGCCCAAACTGAGGCGTGCAAGTCCTGGCCAGTTCAGCTCCGAATCTTCACAGGCTTATCCGAGCCGCGGCCAACAGCTCCGCCGGGCGAGCGTGGAATCTGCCATGGAGCCAGCAGAGGCTCCTGATGAGACGGACATTCAGCAACTGCCGGGGACTTAAGCGCCGCAAGGGTGAGATGGTTTGCCAAGGCGCTTGAACATATACTATAACATATACCCCTTTTCAAGGCATACATGTATCTTAATATTGTGTTTTTTTGTCCGAACGCCACGGAGCTGAATTGCATTTCAAGCATACGCCTTGAATAAGTGTGCAGCAAATTGCGATTTTGACGGTTTCGTTCCCGACAAGGGGGTGTCCCATGCCCAAAGCGGATCGAAGAGGGCCCCTGGAACCCGTTTGGGACCTTCAGTATAAACCATAAACGCATGTGTGTTGAGGAGTTGTAGTAAATTTTGGGGAGGTGCGTGCAGATGCTTGATTACTCATTGCAATTATGTGTTTCATGTTCTTGAAAAGCCATACGCTGAGAACAATATGAGCAAAGACGTGTTTTTGCACATCGTCCAAGCGTGGTGTAGAGGGGTACATGGCCGAGGCAAGCTAGAAGGCCACTATCGGCACAGGCATGTGCAGCGGAAGCGTTTCTAGCCTGAAGATTGGCATGCATGTGAAGGAATTGTCTTGAAGTGTGGCTCAGGCAAGGCACGAAGGAAGCTGCTTGTGCCCAAACTGAGGCGTGCAAGTCCTGGCCAGTTCAGCTCCGAATCTTCACGGGCTTATCCGAGCCGCGGCCAACAGCTCCGCCGGGCGAGCGTGGATTCTGCCATGGAGCCAGCAGAGGCTCCTGATGAGACGGACATTCAGCAACTGCCGGGCACTTAAGCGCTGCAAGGGTGAGATGGTTTGCCATGGTGCATGAACATATTCCCCTGTTCAAGGCATTCATGTATCTTAATATTGTGTTTTTTTGTCCGAACGCCACGGAGCTGAATGGCATTTCAAGCATACGCCTTGAATAAGTGTGCAGCAAATTGCGATTTTGACGGTTTCGTTCCCGACAAGGGGGTGTCCCATGCCCAAAGCGGATCGAAGAGGGCCCCTGGAACCCGTTTGGGACCTTCAGTATAAACCATAAACGCATGTGTGTTGAGGAGTTGTAGTAAATTTTGGGGAGGTGCGTGCAGATGCTTGATTGCTCATTGCAATTATGTGTTTCATGTTCTTGAAAAGCCATACGCTGAGAACAATATGAGCAAAGACGTGTTTTTGCACATCGTCCAAGCGTGGTGTAGAGGGGTACATGGCCGAGGCAAGCTAGAAGGCCACTATCGGCACAGGCATGTGCAGCGGAAGCGTTTCTAGCCTGAAGATTGGCATGCATGTGAAGGAATTGTCTTGAAGTGTGGCTCAGGCAAGGCACGAAGGAAGCTGCTTGTGCCCAAACTGAGGCGTGCAAGTCCTGGCCAGTTCAGCTCCGAATCTTCACGGGCTTATCCGAGCCGTGGCCAACAGCTCCGCCGGGCGAGCGTGGATTCTGCCATGGAGCCAGCAGAGGCTCCTGATGAGACGGACATTCAGCAACTGCCGGGGACTTAAGCGCTGCAAGGGTGAGATGGTTTGCCGTAGAAGCATTTGAAGTGATGCACTAAATTCCGCCCCCACTGTCACACCACGTCGTGCCCCAGACCCGGATTTCTTAGGGGCAAGCCAAGTACTGAGCCAATACCAAATCAATTGGCTTTTCATGTTTGTTTCTTGAAGTGAATTGAGCAGTTTAAGTTTTTCTTGAACGGTTGTGGTTCCTGGCCAAGGGGGTGTCTTGAGTTATGCGAAGACAGCGAACAGAAGCAGACAAAAGCGGAGACCCGGCACCCCCTCACCGCTATTGATGATGTTTGCTGCCAAGAAACGTTTCGTCAAAAGGGGACGTGCCATCCTCAGGGCGAAAAGAACATTGGCCACATTTTTATGCAGGCTCAGGGCCTTGACATGAACAGGCCATTCTTCAGCCAAGGTGTGGTTGTCAACGTGCATTCCTAAAAGGATCATGAGTTTGCACACGGCCGAGGCAAGCTAGAAGGCCGGCATCGCCACAGGCGTTCGAAGCGTTACTCGCCTGAAGGTTAGGTCTTGAAGTGAGGCTTCAGCAAGGCTGGACACGGCCATGGGTCAAGAGCCCGTAATTGCAGTGAACATCCACCAATCCCCACTAAAATAGGTTCTAAAATGGGTGGTGCACCTTCCCCAAAATAACATCCCATTGGTTTTGACCCACGGCCACATGAAGCAAAATGTGCCTACCGAGGCGTGGCAGACCTGGCGAGCTCCGCTCCGAGCCTTCAGGGGCGAGTCCTGGCAGCCAGCAGCTTCGCCGGGCCTTTGTGGACTCCGTCATGGAACCAGCACCGGAGGAGGCCAGTTCGCCATTGCCAGAGGCTTAACTTCCGTTTGGTGAGGTTTGGTTTGTAGCGTAGCAGCCACGGATTGCGACGGCAGGGCTCAATATATTCTAGCAAGGGACCGTGCGGTGGGTTCCATGCTAGTGTTTGGGGGGGTGGATCAGCGAGACTCTTGGGAGTCATGGTATGCCAGGAGTAAGAATACGCATGATTGGCAGGCTTTGTTTGCCGCCAATCTGAAAGATGACAATTTGGTTTGTCCGGGAGGCGACCTTTGGCCATGTTTGTTTTTTGTTTGTTTTTTGTTTTTGGGTTCTTGCTCGATGACCCAGCGCCACAGTCGTTTGCGGAGGCGCCTGGTGTCCGATTGAACTGGCGACTCAGGCAAGATGGCAGGCCACCACAGGCAAGCGCAGCTGTCCAAATGTACCTGGCCTGAATGGTAGCACTCTTGTGTGAAGGAAGGGCTGCCCGTTTGTTTCCTTAATGCCAGGGTGCCGGTTGCGCCGTGCGAGTGAGGCATGCGAGTACGAAGCAGTTCAGCGGTGCGCGGTCGGTTTTCCCAAGCACCAGCCAACAGCTTCGCCGAGCCAGCGTGGAATCAGCCCTGGAATCGGCGGAGGCGCCAGAGGAGACTGACGGTCCGCAACGGCCAGAGGCTTAAGCGCGCTATAGCAGGGTAAGAAGGTGGCAAGAGTCATGGCATTCGCGGCACAGTTGGTTTGCGCGAGAGATGATATTTGTCCGGGTTTGGTGTGCAGGATAGTGTCCGGCGAATGGTGTGTTGGCACACTGTTTGTGCATGCCGTGCTTCCGTGTGAGACGTGGCAAGCACTTTACAATTAAAGCCACACAGGCTAGGCTGGCTTTTCAAGCACGAGCAGCAGCTGCCTTAAACACGAGACTGGCATTTTCAGTCTCTCTACTTGCTCGGGCAAGCATCGACATGACTTGATCGGGCCTTGCTCTCCTGGGCCGGAGACCCAGGCCGCTTTTGGCCAAAGAATTGCGTGTCTCAAACTGCCACCACTCTGCTGCGGCTTGCGTTTCTGCAATGTTGCGCCATTGGTGAGAGTGGAATTACCATGCTTGTATTTGAGCACTCCTGCGGCTTGCTTTCGCTTTTCGAGGAGCGGGGGCTCCACCACGTCCGAAAAATCTCAGATCGGCCTAGGCAGAGCGAGATAGTCAACCCGAAGCACCGGCCGCACCTTGGCCTTCTTTGGCTTGTGGGCTGGGCGAGTCTTTGCTAACTGTTCTTAGCAGCTATTTCCTATCACCTCTCGCACCTATCACTTGAAGGGGGTGAGTTTGAGATTGGTGAAATCCACGCCAATAAGAAAGCCAGTGCACATGAAAGGGTTTAGCACCACAAGACCCTTGAGTCTCACTTGCAAACAAGCAACAAGGTTGTGTGGTTCCATATTATCCATATTTGTTGGGGGAGCGTGTTCAAGGACTGGCTTTCAATTTGAGCCAGGACGCTCGTTTGTTTGAGCGGTTTGGCTCCAGTGCAATGTGGAACGCTGGTGCCATGGCTTTGCCAGTTGCCTCGAAGGCCGGCATCGAGCTCAACGACCCTTTGCAGTCCAAGCTCAAAAGAGTCGTCCCCCTCCACTTCGGACGCCTGGCAGTCCCTTCGCACGTCGCCGCAAAGAGCAGATCCTGCGGGAGATGGACGGCAAGACGTGTCAGGGTCTTACGACCTTGTGTGTTTGCCTGTCCCCTCAACCTGAGGCAAGGTCCCAGGGCAAGTATTCGCAGAGCCCTTTGTATCCTTTTGTCGGAAGTTTCACGTCAGGATCATTTTTTTGTGATATTTTTTGGGCCTCAGACTAAGGCATGGCAGGAGACTGGAAGTCTCGAACCAGTGGCCGCTGGGCTGCTAATACCGTTACTGTGTTTATATAACTTGCAAGGTGATTTCTACAAGATGGTTTGCCTGAGGAAGCCAACTTTTGAGGCGTTTCGTGGTTCCTACACTTGTACCCAGTTTCTTTGGGGGCCCTGTTTGTCTAGCCCCCAAGCTGCGTGTTGGCGATCGAAAGCACGAGTGTCCGCCTTGAGCTTTTGTCTAGGACCTCGGGCTCAACTCCATGCAGCCCAAGTTCCAAGGGCAGCCCCCAGTTTGGCCCGCGATCGGACTCGCCAAGATCTGCGCCCAGCGAGGATGCCCTGCCCAGCCTGCAACTGCCTCTGCCTCTCGGCACTGCGCGGACCAAGGAACACCAACTGATGATTTGTGTAGGGACCCCTCAAACACAAAACAAGCCATGCAAATGATGTGTATGCAAGGTTCTCAATCACCCAATCTGACCTTATCCGAGCGCTCTGATTTTAGCCACCGCTTGCAGATGCGGTTAGATTCGCAGGCCGCCAACGCAACCTGCATGGCAGTTGCCAGGTGGTTTGCATGATTTGGGCGGGGGGGTATGTTGCCGTGAAGCTGTCCGGGCTGTCTTGAACCCACATATAGATGTCCGTAAATTCTTCCACTGGGTTCGGGTGCCAAGTCTTTGCAGCGTTGAACAAATCGTCCATGACGAGGTCCCCACGATCCTCGGACTCATCGCTGCCTGCCTCTCCAGAAGACGAGCCAGGCTGGTTGTTGTGCCCACCTTGGAAGATCCTTGCTATTGAACCTTGGCCTCAAACCAAACAAAAGGCGCTAATGGGAAAAGGATCCTTACACTGCTTGTTTGGGATCGCTCAAGGATTAGTTTCAAACAAAAGGGCAGGTCCTCGCAGAAAGCATAGATTCCCCTCACCCTGCTGCCCAAAGGGCAGTGTCCCGAGCACACGCTTTGCTCCATTTTCAAGTATTGTTGTGCAATATCTCTAAACAATACAAACCATTGGCTAGGACGGTGGATGATTGTAGCTTGGAAGCTTGCTCAGCCCACCTAATGCACGCCCACATGGGTTTGCGGTTTTCCCAACCTAAGTCTTGAAGCGGCATGCAGGTCAGTTTGGAGACCCGTCCCGGTCTGGAGGCTTCACACGCATGGGCACGCCGCTTGACTTGGCTGCAAGATGCTACAAGGATGGCGCACAAGGAGGGGGTGATTCCCTTGACCGGTAAGTGGAAGCCTATAGCCAGCCGGCACTGCCAATGTCTTGGGCCATGTCAATGTGGGCATGGTTGAGTCGAGCACGGCCTAGGCCACCCTCGCGAAAAAGCCCAGCAAGCCCAGGCAAGGTTGAGAGGTTTGGCACGGGTTTCGCTGCTGTCTCTGCTTGAGTCACATTGGGCTCCTTTTCGTGGCATGTTCTTAATGATAGTCTGTTCCATGTCGCTGAAGCTGCTGGCCGGCTTGTGGTTGTGCTGGGGGCGCAGCCAATACCAAGTTTTCAGAACATCCGCGCAGTCGCAGTCACATGGCCATGGGTCAAAATCCCGTACCCCCAGTGAACATCAACCGATCCCCACTAAAATAGGTTCTAAAATGGGTGGTGCACCTACCCCAAAATGGTACCATTGGTTTGACCCACAGTCACATTGAGCCAATAATTGCACGGCTAGCCAAGCCCAAGCGTTGAGGCATGTCAATTTCAGTCTGGAGGCCAGTCTGGGAGCCAGTCTGGAGGCTTCACGCGCATGACGATGTCGCTTTTTGGCTGCAGTATGCTGCCACAGCATGCAGCCACGGCCAACATAGACCAAAGCCGGCCCACTGAAGGGGGGGCAGCCTCTTGTGGATTTCCAGGAATCGGAGGCTAAATCCCCAAAGCTGGATGCATTATGTGAATGTGAATGCCCAGAAAGGGAACTGCTTCTCAATGAATGACCTGTAAGCACATTGGCACAGCCAAGGTCGCCCGCTTCGCACAGTGACGCTCCTCCCATCAGCCCGCAGGATGGTCGAGGCAGTTTGCTTGTGAAAGTCGGTAGGAGCTCAAGGGCGGGCCATCAAGGGCCACTCGCAACTGTGCAATTTATTCTTCAGCTCTTTCTCCGAAGATTATGTGTGGTGCTTGCATGCTTTTCACCATGGCCTTGCAGGCCGCGAGCCGCCGCTGCCCCTTGGCTGCGAACCGTTTTGCCGGCGCTTGCTGGGTTTGCCGGTTTGCTTTGGATGCGTGAAGTTCACCTTGTTTTCGAGGGTTGACAAAAGGGAATACATCAAAATGGAGAAAGGCAACAAAATGGTGGTGCGGATTGCTCGTGTTTTGATGTATTTCGCCTCTGCGGGCCAAGTGATGGGGCAATTCACACCCAGGCCACCACCTACGCCCTCAGAAGATGCCGACAGCGAGTCGGAAGGCTTGGCGCACAGGAGGATCCCCCGTGGGAGATGAGGTGACTTCTGGACTTCCATTTGGGTGTGGCTCAAAATTAAAGAGCTACGCAGGTTTTAGTCTTTCATGGTTTACCATGATTTACCAAGGGTCCATTT